GAGTAAACTAAGTGTAGTTTTCTTACGTTTTTACTTATAAAGATTAGAATGCGTTGATTCGTCAAGTTTGTACATGAACATACGGTAAAGGAAAGTTTACACCATACTTCTCGACTATACACATAGCACTACCAGTGCCAGATACATCAATCTATCATCATACTAAGCATGGTAAGATTCTGTGTTTTATGGTTACGACGATTTTTTATTATTGTAGGATATTCCATTATTGGGGTAATTTGTTGCTGTTGTTTTCCTTCTTGTGTTTTTTTTTTGTTGTTGTTGGGGGGATATTTATTTAATCTTATTAAATTTTACTAGAGTCTTTCAGAAACCTGTAAAACATGAAGAAAATAAACCCCACGACCATTAAAAGTCTATCGGAAGACTTGTAAACAACACAAGAAGGAACTTCTGACGATCTTGACGATTGTAACGTTGCTACTATAGTTCTTATCTTTAAAATGGGTCTAAGGGAGAATTCTGGTCAGTTCAAGGCTGTTAGTTTAACGCCCGCTGTTGGTAAGTGTCATGAAAAAATCATTAGTGAGAGAAACCTTAAGAACTAATCACAGATTCATAATAATTCGAAGAAATCTGCCCGAGTTTCTTCTTTAAACATGTAGTTAAAGTTTTTTTTTTTGTAAGGCTTCACTTTGGACAGTTATAAACAACGATACGCTAATGGAAGTATAGCTTCTCTTGACTTTCAGAAAATTCTTCAAACGTTAATTAGTCATTTTAACTATAGTGCGTGTAGATGAAAGATTTAGAATTGGAAATTAAATTAGTTTCAAGTCTTGAAGGCTTAGAGTAAACTTAAAATATTTCCCATGAAGTAAGCATAGAGCAGTTTTTACGCAGGATAAAAATATTTTACAAAAAAAAAAGAGTTTTACGCGTATTCTAACCGTAAGCTATGTGGTTCTTAAGGCTTACTAAAACGGCAAGTTATATACTTGTACATATATATACGGAGAGACAGAGAACATTTCATTCAAGTGTAAACAGTGAATAATTTCCTTGGCAATATTATCGTTCGTCCTTGTTTAAGTGCTATTGCAATGATTTTCAAGTTGGCGAGTTTAGGTGCCTGGACTTGTTATCTCTCGAACTGAGAAGAAAACACGAACCTCAATCACACGTTCAAGATGATACAGATTAGACAAGTTATTCAGTTATCTCTATTCCAATAAATGTTCTTTGTGACTGTTACACAAACAATACATTTTGGGAGAAAATTATCCTCAGAACAATGTTATAACTTACAAAAAATATAGGTAACTATTTCTAAAACTTTAATTACAAAAAAAAACGTATAATCCGTTTATAAAAGTTTGAGACGGCTTGATTGGGAAAAAAATATTATTATAAATGTCCGACGTTTCGACAAGATTTTGTCATCCTCAAGTACCTGTATATATGTAGAAAACACTGTTAAAAGGTGTAAAAACAGTCTCAGATACCATCAAAATGCACCATTTTAAGCGAAAATTACAAAAAATTTCCAAAGGGTTATGCCCCCAGACTCCCGAGTGTGACTTTGCCACTCATTTCCTTTTCCCTCTCAACTCCAGCAGTTCAGTGAAAATCTAGATATTTTTACAAGAGGAACATATAAATAGACCTAATCCTCCTTTCAACAAACGTTTAACTCAGATCCGATGAGATTACCCGCTCAATTTAAGCATATAAATAAGCGGAGAAGTAAAGTAAAATGTTTCTGTTCTCAAACGTACAATCGCAGTGTTTACGGAAATCAAACTTGGAAGCGCGTTCACTATTAATCTATTTCAAGCTTGATCGATATTAGGTATTATACGTAAAGACTGCGCACACAAAAAGTGCGAACAAATATGTTTAACAAGCTGTGTTAAGTGCTCAACTCCAGTATGTATGTGATTATAAATCATTTACTTTTCAGGACAATTGCAGTTTTAAAGATATAATAATGAAAACATATTGCTTGCATACGTTATGTTTGATATTGATTTTTACATCAACTGTGATATACGGCTATAATAAGTAATATATATCAAACTATAGTGCTGAGATATATATATATATATATATATATTTAGTCAAAATTACAAACACTATAGAAGAGTCCAGTTTCATAACGTGCGCTTTGCTTGACTTAACATGTTAGTAATCATATAAAAAAAAAGAGATAAAATTTCTATATCATATATAATATGTAAATTTGGTGATATACTGTTTAATGTATTTGAGACTAAATCTTATTTTTCTTGTTGATTTTTTTAATAAATTATAATAATCTCCCTATATGCATTTTCTACATTGTTGTATTGAGGTTCTTTGCTTGCGAATGTATTGAAATATATCTTCATTCTCAATCTATTTAGAAATAAAAAACACACGAAAGAACTGAAAACATAATTGAATTTACAAATTGAAAAACCTTGGCAATGGTTAACCTACTTAGAAAAACAATTATATTAATTTCACACAAGATATTACAGTTTTGCAGTAATGAAACTAGAGAAATGTTCTAGCTCTTTGTCTGGTATATCAATGACAATAAACGCCGAGCCTTCAAACACATTTGGGGTAAAGCTCTAATGTATGATTTATGCACAACGATTGGTTCAGTTTTATAGCAACTTCTAAAAACAGTGTAAAGAACGTACTTTAAATGTGTATATATTTCTCCCCACTCACCTACTGTTTAGTTTCCCCAACTTTCTTGCACCTGGAAAATTTAGAGTAACGCTAACAGCAAGCAATACATTTAGAAATAATCATATAAACAAAATATTAGTGCAGCAGCTGAGGATTCGTAAAAATGAAAATCTACCATACTCATGGTTTTCACTTTTATTTAATATATTAAACATGGTTACCAGTATTACCAATATTTAACTATCTATTATTATCCCCCCCCCTTTCCTCTTTGTGTGTGTGCTCGAGCAAGCAACGTTAGCAAAACACATACTATTATTTCAATGGGTAATGCACACTGAGCAATCCAAAAGCGGGAACCAGGCTCCACTCACGGATCTACAGCCACGTATCCCACGTGCATGAAGACATACAAGAAGGCGGGGCTAGCCTGATATAGCGGACACGTCACACACAAAAGACCAGCCTGCTTATATGTATCCAGGCTGCGTTTCACCATAATTTATAATTCTACCAAACCGTTTTTCACCAAGTAATAAAAATATTCTTGTATATTCCAATTAAAACTTTACGATATACGGTGGTGTTTCTATACTTATGTCTTCTAATTATGAATATTAACATATTATATATATATACAAAAAGGAAACTACAGAATAAATTGCATTAATTTAACTCGAATGGGGTCGATAAATTTATCAAATATCTCAGAGGAAAACTCGTAGTAATAGTCTTAAGCTTTTAATTAAGTTGCATTGCATTTATTTAAAAATATTTTTTTTTAAAAATCGTATTGAAATATGAATGTATACATTAATGTAAACACGAATATTAATATAGCATTTAAAAATTCACCACAGCAATAATTTTACAAAAACTGTTAAAAAATCTAAGTATGACTTAAGAGTAAAATTTTATCTCGACGATTAACTGTTATAATATACATATTCATAATAAGGAAGCAATAATTTTTCGTATTTTTGACAATGAAAAATTAAATTCTGTAAGTTTTGATGAAGGTGACTATTGTAAAACGTACTGAATTCAAACTTTCATAGCGTATCACTCTAAGGGGACATATATATATTACGAAACTCCTACAGAAATAAGCAAAGGACATTAACTTAAAAGAAAGCTTTATTAGGAGAAAAAATTACACTGTAAAAATAAATAAAAGTTCGGATAGGAAACTAATAAAATCACATGTAAAACCATTCGAGATAAATTGCCTTCAAATATCATAGTTTAATTCGAAAAATCAGGTTAACATTCCTCTATACAAGGATTAATCAGCCCACACAAGCGAAGTGAATAGTTGTGGTGATGGGCGAGAGAGGGAATTAAACCCCAAGAGCAACCAGGTTAAAATCAATACTTGTTCAGGGAACACTTTCTATCAGTGTTGTCACTTATGTAAATTACAGCTAGAATAAACAAATGAAATATTAATTTGTACAACAAATTATCAAAAAAGAAGAAGAAAAATGTAGAAAAAAAAATCTAGCTTACCTCTCCATGATAATGTTGTCTACCTTCAGGTGTTTGTTCTGGAAGAAAATATAACCTCATACTTGACAATGCTTGATCGCTGTTCTTGTCCTCCCATATTAACTGCAATTCACCAATACAGGGATCTTCTTTCGGCGAAATTCGCACAAAGAAAAATTCACCGAGCGTCAAAATTTTTTGTTTTTCTGGGCTGCCGCATTTAAAGGCTTTGTAAAAAGTGTATAATCCATGTTGGCCGCAAGGAGGTCCTACAAACTGAGAAAATGGCATTTTTAAAATCACTCTTCACACACCGAGAATATCGCGTGCTCGCTAAGAAGCAAGCACATGCTATTCTAATCGCTGCGACAGTACACCAGCAGGAAAATTGCTTCCGACCCCTACCCTATACTTCCCCCTCTCACCTTCCCCTAACTGCGTTCCGTTTCTCCTATATTAATTCTATTTTAAATAAAAATATATGGATTTATGCAAAAAATACTAATGCCAAAAGCTAATGTTCATAGAATGAAGCACTTACCTGAAGAATTATATTTTTCTCTGACGATTCTGTCATTTCTCAGTGTTTCAATATAAATAAACAGCTGGATGACAGATATTAAACTAACAACTGATAAACCTCAATTTTATCATAATTTATTCCGTCGGGATTAATATAGCAAATTTAAAACTATTTGAAATAAACACTATTAGAGTATGTAAGTTTATAGGAAAAATATCTGCACAGAATAAATACGGCACGCAAGGCAAAGTTAGAACGAATAAATAAAAGAGCTAACAATATCATGCACGATGCGAGCCAATGCAATGCTGTTGTTGATCTCCAGTTATCCCATCATGCGTTGCGACTGTCAAGATGGACGGAAGTTGTAAGGATGATTGGACGGTTGATTTATAACTTTTAAAAACTAATAGTGTCATAATAATTCTTAAGCTTGTTCATGTAAGAGATTGGAATAAGATATTTAATTTTAAAACAACAAGACCTGTATAGGTTCTATAACCAACTTGTTCCCCAAGTGTCACGAGTCATCTGTGTTTCACGGTAATAATTCTACAAACTTTAGTACAGACTCGTTCTTTACGAAAAGTAAAACTAAGTTTTATTTTTAATAAAAAGTGTTTGTTGACCAAGTAAATTGCCTTCGTAGTATTAAATTAGTTTTACATTTGTCAGTAACCAAAAAAGGTTGATCATTGTAAGGTTTTTATTGAATATTTAAATGTTTTAAAAAGCTACAGTCTCGAGTAATGATTTTTTCGTAACTACAACTAGTACTAGTACGTAGTAGAACTATGATTACAAAGCTCATTCTGAACTCAGTTTTTGTTAGACTTTATATTAGTTGCTGTTACCATTGGAAAAGGTTGCTTTTGACATTTTAATATCCAAGTATTTTCGTATGATAGATACAGCAGAGTAGCCTCATTTGTTTTTGTTGATTTGTTGTTTTTTGTTTTTTTATTTAAGTGACAAAAATAGCGTTATTCCATTAGGTTTTTTTCCTAGGAGGAAGGCTAACATTAACAAGAGGCCAAATTTTGTACAGTAACAATGATGTTAAATATCACGCGTTTATAGTATAGTTTCATTGTTTTATTTTTTGTTAATAATAATGATAAATATGAATGGAATGATAAGCTCTATGCTTGACAGGAAACATTTGGCTTTTCACAATCCTTTATAAGCATATTCTTTTGAAAAAAAATTAAGTATTTAAAACTTCATTAAACTTTAAAGTTGAGCATTCTGGTATTGAACTTAAGATTGTAATTTCGTTAATCTATTTTATCTGCTCATTCAGTGTTTCACACCTCTCCACTGTAAAAAGAAAAAGTGTTCATGCAGTATATTAGTTTTACACATGCTTAAATGTGCTTGGGTCTAGAAAGAATATGATGATATTTTCAAGAGCTTAATAATATACTGTCAGTGTTTTAAGCTCATGTAATAATAACAACATGACCAAATTATATATAGACACGTGGGTATGTATATTTATTTATTTTCTTCATACATTTACTAGTCATGAATAAAACTTTTGGCAAGGAGGTATGGATTTTGAACTTTAGGTTTTTTGCTTTAATCTGGTGAATGTAGTTGCAAGTTGCTATTTGATTATATACTTTCGTCAACTAACAATAGATGGTGCTAGTTGAATGGTTGCAAGTCACAGTGAAAAATTTATGTTTAAAATGAATAAAAAAAAATTAAATGCTGTTAAATTATAGAAAATAATCTTGACCAACTTAAAAACATTTAACCACTGAATGAAGGACAGCTTAAAGAATGACATTAAAAGATCTGGGTTACTGTTGCTATAACCATAGTTAAATTGTATTTTTAGCTTTAGATAACAAAGAAATTAGTATACTATACTTTATTTAATAAAAAAGAAATGTTACAGATTTTTCAAAATGTATATAAACAAACCAAAAAAAATCAATAATTTCCCTTTATTTTTTAGTTTAGTGAGTGAAAGATTACTTCAAAAAGGTAACACACAAATTTTCAAAGAAATAAGTGTAGACATTGACAAGCTAAATGTTAATTCTAAAGACTATTAATTAAATCTCATTAAGTTTTAGATATTGAAAATGAGTAGTTAATGAAAAAAATTAAGGCACATCTTTTAGTATGAAACATTTTCAAATGTTTATTTTATTAATGATGATTATCATGTGTTGTTGCTCATGGAAGAGATGTATATAGTCTACATGACTTAAATCACAATTAAGCATTTTTTTTTTTGTCTTTGGTTTAAGTCCAGTAAGTTCCAGGTTTCCTTTGAGGAAGGACTTGTCAACCAGAAACAAGTTACCATGCTTTTCCATTAACTTTCATAAATGAAAATATTCTGGATTTTTGTTAAAGTAGAAACACAATATTCATAGCTGAATGCTTTTATTAAATTGGCAGTAAATAAATTACTTTTCTTTTAAACTTTATCACATGTAAGTCCCACTTAGCTTATGACCCTGATGTAAATCCCTATGTAATCCCAAAAGCTTCATTAGCTTCAGTCTTTTCTTAGGCTTAATTATATTACTATTAGTTGGAATTCAAAAGAATCCTTTTAGTCTCCCATCATATACTTGTATAATCTTTCTGTTATTGTATCTCTTATCCAGGTTTTATCTTAGTACTTCATGGAAAATAATTAAAATAAGACAGACAGCTATACTAATAAACTTATTTCATACTTGTATTCTTTTCTGTTTCATTTTTTAAGTTTCATTAAAAGTTGTTTTCAATAAACATTACCTGGAAATGAGACTTCTATTAAATACAGAAAACTTTTAATTTTACTTTGAGATCTCTAATTTATTGCTTTATTATTATTTTTTATTTTTTGCAGAAATACTGAGTATAACTATATAATTTTTTGCAAAACTTTAATTTCAAGTTATTTTAAAATAATACAAATACTGTATTATGTTTAACTTCAACATAAGTGAAATGCATTACTGGATAGAAATCATAAGACAATTTTAATATTAATAAAAAATAAATTGTCAAGGAAGGATAAAAAAATTTTTTTAAATGTTTTTACAAAATGATGTACATATCCTCAGTTTCAGTAATTGTTCATGCTGTTAAAAGGTTCGAGAAATATTTTTCTATTAAATCTTGATAAAAAAAATCTGCAGCAAGACTTAATGAGTCTTAAGACTGAAATACAAGTCCAATGTGTGAATATAAGTGTGTAAAGAAATTATAGAGAAGTTATATGAATAAAGTTCAAATAACACATTTTTATATGTATTGGTGCATGCATAGCACCTGATTTAACTAAGGATTCAAATTTTCAAAAGAAAAGTATTGATTTTATGAAATTCTGTTCTCTTTTTGTGTGTGTGTTAAAGTATGGTAACATTTAATGGTCTAATCCTTGAATAATTAGATGTCTGTTGTTTTTCCTTTTTTTGTAGGACTATTGATAAATTTGACCCTTTCATCATGCTAAATCCTTAGAAGCTGTTACTTGCTTTCAAATACAAAATTTTATCCTGAGGAGAATAGATGAAACTTTGAGGCTAAGTCAGGTTGAAAAATATTTTTTCACGATCAGCTATGTTTCTAAACTGTCTGATTTTTCGGACAGTTTCTTAAGAGAGTATTATTGTTTAAGATTAAAATTATATGTAGCATGCAGTTTTCAGTAAAACCAAACAACATACAAGGTATTCAAAGACAGAGTAAAAATAACTTAAAGTAAAAAGAAATTGAACATACAATGTAATTTAAGGTAGAGGATGTAATCTTAAAAATATATTTGCAACTCAAGATTTGTTTGAATATTGCTATAAATAGAAATAGAAAACAAAAAAGATAACTAATTTCATAACTTACTGCTGTAAATCTTTCAAAAATTACAGATTAACTATTGGGTGGTGAAAATATAAATTATTTAGCCAGATCAAAGCATAATAAAACCTGAACAAGGGATAATTATTCAGAAGTCATATATGTACAGTTTTATTTTGTGAACAGTGCTATGAATCTGTCTTTTCAAAGCCACATTTATTTGGTATTCTTGTTTAACATGAGAAAAACAACAAATTTTAATAACCTGTGTAATTTGGTAAATTTATTAAACAGTGCTGTTATTATTATTAAATAACCTTTAATAATTCATATTGTGATATAAAATAAAAATCTTCATTTTCCTCAGTGATATGTTAAGTTTTTAATTAATATCTGTAAAGTTTCTAATTATTAAGAACTTCTGAGTGAAAGTGTATAATATTATGTTAACCACACTATATTAGCTATATCCAGTACTCAATGCAACATTGACAATGAAACACTGCTAGAAAAAAAAAATGAAATAAAAAATGCTACCAACAAATGGTCAAAACTTAATAGTGTCCTTGAAACAAAAAGTTATTTTCCTGAATAATCACAAAAATGTTTTTATTTATTAAATTTTGAATTCGACATATTTTAAAATTTCTACTTTTTTAAACAAAATAAATGTTTTTGGCTATTAGCATACTATTAATTTCCTTTTATCCTTTTTTCTGTCAGGAGATGAAGTGTATCATTGGAAAACTATCATCCTGCAAAGAATTTTATGAAGTTTAAATAGTATCATATATTATTTCAAGACTTGCATTTTTCGTATAAAATATTTTAATAAATGGTGTGTCAAGTTTTATTCTGTTTTTAATTTTTATCTGAAATCGATTCAATAAAAGGTTAAATATTGCATCATATAATTTCCAAAAATGATATCAGCAGAAAAGAGGAATTAAAGTTATTATTTTTATCACTTTATTTTCAGTTACTTAAACAACAACAACAAAAAAAGCAGTCAATATAGTTGAATTCCAAGGAATAACAAAAGTTCTGGCTTGGAAAGAAAATATTTTTTTATAATGACTGTTGTTCCCTAGTGGGTCAACTATAAGTTTACAGACATCCAACACTAAAATTTGGGGAGGGGGGGGGTCAATTGTCTGTGGTGGACAAATAACCTATTGTTTAACTTTGTCTAAAACAAACCTTTTAAATACATCTAATTGTAACAGTTAACAGGGGTTGTTCAGTTTAGGACATAAGTACAGGAATATTGTTAGTGCAGTTGTTGTTTTTTTGTATTTTATTGGGTAGTGCCCAGTACAATCTATAATAATAAAAGGGCATGTATGTCTGTGTGTGTGTGACCTCCATAACTCCGAAAGGAAAGAACATAGAAACCTCAAATTTGACACCCATACTAAGTAAACCCTGAGGGTTTGCACCTGGGTATTATTACCTATCCACGTGCGTACACTTAGCAACAAAAGTATATAGATTATACTTTTATGCTAAAATGGGTTCAGAATACAAACGTTATCAACCTAATAACCCAAGCGAAGCCGGGTTCTTTCACTAGTCTAGGAAAAACGTGGCTTTTGTAACCATACCTGTAAGCTTGAAAATATTTTTATACATAAAATTTGTGAGTAGCAGTGTAGAATCAGAATCATCCCAATATATAATCATTAAATAATCACTTTGTTCGAACATACTGTGAGGAATTAAGTTAACATTGTCTTTTATTTCAGAATCGGGTAGAAAACCTAATTTTTTGCATAGAATTTAAACATAAAATGTGACAAACAGTCCTACTTTCGTTAACAAAGATTAGTTCAAATTGGCAATGGTGGTGTTTATCTGCATTCCTTCTAGTTTATCACTTCTAAGATAGGAGTTGCTAGCGCAAATAACCCTCGTAAAGCTTTGCGCAGAATTGAACAAACAAGACAAAGAAAATCTTAATCCAAATCAAAGCCAATGGGATTCATGTGATTGGTGAAATCTTGATTTTGCAGTGATAAACACAACACTGAGGCGTGTTATCAGAAGGTTCCAGTTTCTGGTAGGTTTTTATTAATTCGGTTGACTATTTGTTACCCAAAAGGCACTAGATTTTCCAAAACCAACATTCCATTCTGTTAAGATATTTCAATTTTCAAGAAGATTTATCAGTTATTTCGTATTTGTAACCTTTCTCAGAACTCGCCACCACCTAGTCTTATCCAGGAATTTTATTTCAAATATTATCATCTTCTCTAAGACTCTTGACTTTAAGTTTTCATTTATCGAAAGCATGGCAGTCATTATTATAACTCGAATTGGCTACATTTTCGCAACAAAATAATACGTCTAAAACGCTTGAGCCTTAGAATTAAATATTGCACTGTCTGACACACGATTTTCACATAAAATATATCTTGAAATATCGTTTGAAAACAGTCGTGCAACAGTACTGCACTACTAAACATACGCAAAAAAAAATAATTTAAAAAATGTACACGATATGACATGATGCGATGAAGTACGAAATTGGCGGCAGGAAATTTGTAAGTTATTATTAATAGAAGCTATGTATGTGTAATGATATGATCGTATATAATGATTATATACCAACAAATGCATGCATCTGAAGAAAGAAAGAAATACTGACTTAATTCCACAAAATACCAGCATACATGACAAACAGAGTTGGATTAGGTGTGGGAGGCAAGTGGGTGTAATTGGACCAAGAACCCGGATCGACGGAGCCCCCCGACTAAGAGAAATGTAAAAAAATATGTCAAAAACTGGATGTCTCATTGAAAAACATATTTGCGACTGTGTCACTATAACAACAGCGATTTTAATAGATTTATATAAACCTATGATTTAGTAATTTTTCATCAATAAGATCGTACAACATGTTCTTTCACAGATATTTGCTCCTCATTTTAACAAAACATTCGTCGTCATTACTATAAATGGTTGAATAACTATATTAAATATTACATACCCATCACTTGTATTTGTGTATTACTCAAATTGTAGTTAATACATTGTATTCAAAAGTCCTGATAAAAGTTGATTTCAGAAAGATGTATTAAACTACTCCACCTTGTTTGTTTTTAGTAAAAGATTCAAAGCTCTTTTTTTTTTTTTTTCATTTTTGTCGGAAGCATTAAAACCATTAGAGTAACTTCAGTTACTAATTTTATGATTATATGAGCTATGCCAATAGGAAGCAATATTCAAAAGTATAAGTTAACATACACTTGGAAGTGGTGGTTCATTTTGAAGATAGCAACCAGTCGAAGATCATTGGTGTTTTTATGTTATTGTAATCTCGTCTTAAAATGAGTAAACTTCTAAAACGAAATCTGGAAGAGTATTTGCAACATGAATGGCACTTTAGGCAGCAAATGGACTGACCGACCAGATGGTCATTCCTAACGTTCAGGTATAACCAGCCCTTATTTGGAACTGCTAACCATTTGGAAGATCCCGCAGCTTATGCGGATAGCGGGATTGGCTGCCATATGTATAATACTCAAAAGTGGAAAGTGTTTTCAGCGGCTAGAACCTTGGACATTCAATCTCGAATAGAATTATGGAAATATGAATATACTAAACACCCTATTTATAGATAGATCAATAGAACAGCTATATTTACTGAAAATTGTTATGGATAAATATCAGATCCAAATATATTTCTTATAATAAATACGACTAGTCACCAGAATAAATATTTTTAATTTCAACATTTCATTGCACCGGCTTTATCATGGGCTGGTTATATCATACTAACGTAAGCTATGTTAGTTTGATGTAACAATCCTTACAAAGAGTGATTGCACTATCAACAGTAACTTCTGTTATCACACATTTATAAATTTATAGTGTATATGCTATTTTTATCACTGTAATTAAGAAAAATATATTGTTCTTATTCAATTCTCGTAATGAAGAGTGGAAAATAAACCGTAAAAAAAGGGGTAAATGCTTTTAATCTTAACATTTCACTGTATCAACTTTATGAAAGGATAGTTACATGAATCCAACGTAAACTACTATGTTATATATATTGGGAACTGTGGTGTCTGTATGAGTGTTCGTTTGTCTCCCATTTAAAAGGCTGCGCGCGCCCCAGTGGCACAATGGACTTACAACGCTAGTTACATGAATCCAACATAGACTACTACAGTATGTTATATATATTGCGAACTGTGGTGTCTGTCTGAGTGTTCGTTTGTCTCCCATTTAAAAGGCTGCGCGCGCCCCAGTGGCACAATGGACTTACAACGCTAGAAACCGGGTTTCGATACAGATAGACCAATGTGTAGCTTTGTGCTTAACTACAAACAAACATAATTGAATAGATGTGCACGTAGGCAAAGTTCAACATTCACCTTTGAAATGACAGAAGAACTAGCATGAATAATGTTGATGGCAAATTTTATTTCGCAAGCAGTATATTCTACACTAAATTGTTAGGAATTAATCACACTATCATTCACATTTCAAAATGCGACGTAACTTAAAGAATAAAAAAAATGTAGATTTACCGTATATTATTATTGAGCGGCTCTTAGCATGACTGAAATGCTCAACAATTACTTTTCGCGGTATGCGGTATAAGTAGCTCAGAGCTTTGACTCTGAGTGAAACCAATAGTGTAACACAATTAACATTTTTCAAGTCCATAAAATAATTTAAACTGAAAGATTAACTTAAACTTTTTCTGTCACTGGGGACGGGCACTTTTGCTTGTGTTTGTATGATATAATCACTTCGTGTTTCAGCCGATACAATTTAATGTTGAAATTAAGAATATTTCTTCTAGTAACTAGTTGTATTTATCATCTTCTCTTCTATTTTTGCAGTATTTGTTATTTTCCACTTTTCATTATGATCATTGAATAATAACGACATATATATATATATATATTCTTAATCACAGTGATAAAAATAGCATATACAATATTAAATATAAAATTGTGTAAATAGAAAAGTTACTGTTGGTAGTGAAATCACTTTTTTGTAAGAATTGTGGAAGAAATTTGAAATTAAAGATGCCAAAATTCGCAGGCGAATCCCAACATGACCAATTTCGACACCAGAAAAATAATGAAAATCTAATATTTTTATTTGCCGATGTGTGCTGCCTGTAGAAAAGTGTTTTTGCACCAAATTCCATGTAAATTCGTCAAAACAAGGCTAATTATGAGTTTATTTAACCTTTTGACCCTCCCTAAAATGTCCATAAATGGGCATATCCCACATTTTTGTATGTATATGCATGGATCCTGTAAATAAACATCATTGTACCGAATCCCATGTAAATTAGCCAAAATACGACGGAATAATTCTCAATAAATTCTAAAATTATGCTTTTTTGTAGCATCTTTACCACCCCTCTTCCATAATTACTAAAAATGCTCAAGTCCACCATTTTTGTTTGTCAATGTGTGGGACCTGTAGAATCTTTGTACCAAATCCCATGTAGATTGGTCAAAATATGACAGATTAATTGACCAAACCTCCCAAAATTATGCTTTTTGTGAGCTCTGCTCCACCCCCACCCCTAAAAAAGACACAAAACGGCAAATCCTCAATTCGTACCTCAATGTTTTGGACGCATGAAAAATTTAGATATGTGCGAATTTTCATCTTGATTTCTCTAAACATGACCGCTAAGGAGACCAAACTATACGTTTTTGAGCTGTTTGACCTTTGACCCCATATAATCGACTGAAAAATGTTTGGAAGAAGAAACAATAGAAAAACAATATGTCTCTCTGCGGAGGCATAAAAAATAAAACATATTTTTTTTTTGCATTTTAAATATTAATATGCATAAATA